TGAGCCCAGGAGTTCAAGGTTACAGTGAGCTATGATGGTGCCACTGCACTCCAGCCTGGGAGACAGATCAAGGCACTGTCTCTAAAAAAGATAAAAATTAAATTAAGGCCAGGTGCAGTGGCTCACACCTGTAATGCCAGCACTTTGGGAGGCCAAGGCAAGTGGATCACATGAGCCCAGGAGTTCGAGACCAGCCTAGGCAACATGATAAAACCCTGACTCTACAAAAAATACAAAAAATTAGCCAGGTGTGGTGGTATGCACCTGCAGTCCCAGTTACTGGGGAGGCTGAGGTGGGGGGATCACCTAAGCCCAGGAGGTCAAGGAGGCAGTGAGCCATGATCATGCCACTGCACTTCAGCCTGGGCAACAGAGTGAGACCCTGTCTCTGAAAAAGAATACTAAAACAAATAAAAATAAAAATAAAACATTTACTGAGTGTTTATTATATATAACAAGAACTGTGCCATGTGCTTTATACAGATCATCTTGTTTAACCCTCACAATAATCCTACAATCTGTTGTTGAATCACTATTGTTACTATTCCATTTTACAATTGGGGTGATACTTAATACATGTGGTATGGATTGCTGTCTCTTCAAAATGACATACAAAATAAAACAAATATAACAGGTTCCAGGTTATAAAGAACTCAGGAGACACAGACCCCAAATTTTACATCCCAAACCACCATTATTATAACCCCCAAGTCTTGACTTTTCCAAATGTGTTTAAAATCACAAAAAGTACCCCCAGCCAGGTGTGGTGGCTTACGCCTATAATCCCAGCACTTTGGGAGGCCTAGGTGGGTGGATCACGAGGTCAGGAGTTCGATACCAGCCTGGCCAATACGGTGAAACCCCGTCTCTACTAAAAATACAAAAATTATCTGGGCATAGTGGCGTATGCCTGTAGTCCCCGATACTCGGGAGGCTAAGGCAGAAGAATCGCCAGGAGGTGGAGGTTGCAGTGAGCCGAGATCACACCACTGCACTCCAGCCTGGGTGACAGAGCAAGATTGCATTAAAAAAAAAAAAAAAAGGAAGTACCCCCTCTTACTTTATCCCATACTACCCTACCCTACCACTGCCCTCACTCCCCCTACATTTGTAATCTGCTTTCCTCACTGCAGTTTGCTTCCTACTTTTCTTTCCACTGTATTTTCCTCATTGTGATTCTCATTTCACACACCTTGGAAGACCTAAATCCCTTTTATTCATGCCTAAAGTTTACTTGCCTGTGTTAGAAGTTCCTCCTCAAAGACATGATGGATTTCATCTGTGGTTTCAGGTAACTGGACAGTTAATTTGAATGTTCCTTTTCCTTGCAATACTAACTCATGATTTTTTCTCTCCAGAACCTTCTGCCGAACTGAAATGTCCAAAAGGGGGAAAAAGGGCCAAATGACAAGCAATCTTTATTTACAAAATTATTCTATGATTTCTATGGGCTGTGTTACCATCCATCAATGGCTTCGTCTGTTTCTCAAGAGAGGCTACGTGAAGTAAAAGAGGAAAAGTTTAGCAAGCAGACATGGATTTGAATTGCATCCTTAAACTGACTTTTTAATATTGACCATGTTTCCTAATAAGCCGTACTTACAAAGCCTTAGTTTTCTTGTCTATTTGTAAGGTTAATGGAGATATGTTGGTAATGTATGATAAAATAGACACATCTGAAACAGGGTTTAAAATATTATGTCAATTTACACCAACTTTTCAGAAATCCTGTGAAATGTATAAAAGTGAGATACAGCTTCCCATTCATTTCTATTTGCTATACATGAATAAATACAGACAAGTGCTGGTGGGCTCATTCTTATTATCTGCCTATTAGGTTTATATGAATCAAATCAGGTTATGCTATGGGCCCGCACCTGTTGAGGCCATTTCCTGGCATGGAGGGTGGAGAGTGGAGAATATCCTCTGCAGAAGAAGAATGCACTTCGGGGACTTCAAGGGTAGGTCATTCATTGTCAGCAAATTCCTGACCCTTGTTACTGAGAAAGTGGTTCCTCAAGTAGGAAACTGAAACTGACTAGGGATTTTCCACCCCCAAGAACTTTGACCATACTAGGTTTTGAGTTTGTTTTTGTTTTGTTTTGTTTTGTTTTTTGTTTTGCTTTGTTTTGTTTTTTTTTTTTTTGAGATGGAGTCTTTCTCTGTTGCCATGCTGGAGTGCAGTGGTGCGATCTCTCCTCACTGCAACCTCCACCTCCCTGGTTCAAGAGATTCCCCCGCCTCAGCCTCCCAAGTAGCTGGGACTACAGGCGCACACCACCACGCTCGGCTAATTTTTTTGTGTGTTTTAGTAGGGATGGGGTTTCATCATGTTGGCCAGGATGGTCTTGATCTCCTGACCGTGTGATCCGCCCGTCTCGACCTCCCAAAGTGCTGGGATTGCAGGCATGAGCCACCGCGCCTGGCCCGTTGTGAGTTTTAATAAGTTTTGGGTCATCTGGGCTGGGGGGTAAGACAAGAGGGGCCACTGGAGCAGCCTGGGGGTGGAGGAAGAGGAGTTGTGGGCTGGGGCTGGTCAAGGATGATAGCCCAGAAGTAAGACTAAAATCTTTTCTGCTTGGAGGGCTAGAATTGAGTTATTTTATCATCACAAAATTATATTTTGTGATATTTGTATTTTTATTCATTTGGGGTTGTCAGCAAACTACAGAAATTCTGAAACTTTAACACACCAAGGTCACCTGGGATGCCGGTTAAACACATGCTTACCACCCACCCCACATTCACTGAACCTGAATCTCTAAAACAGAGCTGGGAAGGTGCCTGGTTAACCTGCTCTCCAGGTGATTCAGATGGGTGAGACCTACTTCTAAGGATAATGGAATCTAAAGAAGAAAGAAGCATCCTTAAGGGCCAGATGGATGGTGATGTTGACTTCTGAAGTCAAAGTGGGGAAAACTCTCAAGGGAAAGCGACACCCAAAAGGGAAAAGATCACATAGTTGCCCTTCTGAGCACTCCTTGGTGAAATTAATCCTAGGAAAACATGGTATTTTGTTTTCATAAGGGCCATGAGCCAATCATGTCTCCTGTCCCCCTCCTTCCTTCCTTCTGCGCACCTTTCTTTTTCTGTTTCATTTTTCCTTTTTAGATCCCTTCTGGGGCCCTCTAATTGCACGGCCTCAGCCTCAGCCTCCCTGCTTCTCCTCTGGCCCAAATGCTTCTCCAAATCCAGAGACAAGAAAGCGGAATTAGGGGTTGACTAGATCCCAATGGGTTACCATCCATAAGATGCCAGTGGAAAAGGCGCCCATTCAGGGAGCTGCAGGTCACAGGCTTCCCACTGCAGACCAGGGAGGCCCTTGAGCCAGCAGATCATCGGTGGGCTCTTGATCCACCAAGTAGTGGGGAGTAGGGGAGTGGGGAGTAGTGGGGAAGAAGGGAAAAAGCCCCTTAATGGCCTGTAAGGAGGGAACTTTGCCGACTTTCCCCCTCCAAAGCTCAAATCTCCCAACCCACTGTCACTTCAGAATATCATCCTTGCTCCCAATCTGAGCACTAGAGACTCAGGGAAGAGGCCCCGGCAGGCCGTCGACAATGTGGCCGCTGTGACGGCTCTACGTTGACATTCGGGCCGTGTGATTTTGGGCAGCGCCTCTGCCCCTCTCCCAAGTGACCCCAGGACCTCTGGAAATCTCCAAGCCCCACGAGGAATCTCTGTGACTTGTCACGTTTCTTAAAGAAAAGGAAAAGACAGAAAAGGATGACAAGAGGATAGACTCACTTCACAACAACAACAAACAATAACACCACCACAACAGGGAAACACAGAAAATGATCGAGTGATAAAGAGTCACTTGCGCGGTTCCGCCGCCACCTCCGGGCCGCGCCGTTAAGCGCCTGGAAACGCAGGGCGCCGGGGAACCGCAGCGCCCAGGGAGCGCTCGGAGTCCATTCTGTCGCCCCCGCCCCCGCCCCCGGCCCGGCCACCTCCGCTACAGCAGCCGCCGGAGCCGGGCGGGTCCCCCTCCGGTGTGCGCCCCGCCGCCATCTCCCTGGAGGGAGGGCAGAGGCGCCCCCTCCTCACCCCACCCCTCGCGCCCCTCACCGTCCTCCGGGTAGAAGAGCACCAGGAAGCGGGACGGGCTCCTGGGATCCTGGTGGACCTCACACTCGCCGCCTCCCGACTTCTTCCGGCTCTGGAAGTACATCTGCAATTTGGTGCTCAAGTTCTTCGGGGGGTCGGGGCCCCAAGAGCCCTCGACCAGCAGCGGGAAGGAGCCGGGCACAGCCATCCTCAGCACCGCTCTCCGCCGGACTGCAGCGGCCGCGCCAAGTCCGGGCCGCTAACTTTGACTCTTTCGCTTTCGTTTCCTGGAAAACTCCCAGGCCTTGGTTTCCTTTTGCCTTCAGCCTAAGACAGCGGACCCAGGAATGGCCGAGTCATCCCCCGCCCACCTCCCCACCTTCGCATTCGGCCCACAGCCAAGGCCAAAGTAACCCTTTGGGGCTGGCCAGCGGCGCCCCGGGAAGGCGGCCTCCGTTCACCTGTGCTCCGCGGGCTCCCACACCCCCTCCTAACTCCGGCCCCACTGCCTGCCGCTTACCCCAACCGCAGATCAAGTCGGCAGCTTTGGGGCACCAGACCTTGGCCAAACACAAAGATCATTTAATTTTTGCCGCAAGCCGACCCTTTACAAAAGAATAAAACGACTCGCAAACTGTGGCCCTTTTAGAATGTTTGCTGCCTATTTGGGGGCTTTTTCAGCAATCAATGTGATAATCAGAATTTTAAGTTGCTTTCCCTGTTTGGCTTTCTGTTCCTTAATCTGTTAGTATTACATATCTAGAAATGTGGGAGAAACAATTACACTCACAGGTTTTTTTGTGGAATATTTACTAGGCGCCATGAACTCACTCACTGAGCTCTCACTGAGATCACGGAGCTATGGTGAACACAGCGGGGAATAGGTGCTCTGAGAAAGAATGTACATGTGTTCCTGGAACAGATGAGGAGTGGCTCCTAGCCCAGCTGTGGTGGCTCAGGGAGGGTTTATGGGGCGGTGACATGTAACCTGATAACCCCAAGGATATGGAGGGGGAGGGAGCTTGGAGGGTTAGGAAGCGGAGTTCCACGGTGTGATTCACGCGTACAGGATCACTCCGGCCGCTGCGTGGTGGCTAGAGTGGAGGCAGAGAGGTCAGCCAAGTGGCTACCATAGTGTCCCAGGTGAGAGACAAGGGTGGCTGAGACTGGGATGCTGGCAGAGAAGAACTGAGAAAAGGAGAATCTCAATTAATAGTGAAAGCAGGACTTGCTGAAGGATGTGAGCCTTGAGAGAAGGAAAAGCTCAAGGATGACTCCATGGTCAGCCATGGATGGCCCGTGCAAGTGGCTGGATAATAGTGGCATCTGCAAGAGGGGAGGCCAAGTGGTGGGAGAGAAGCTGGGGCTGTGTATTTCCTTGACCCCAAATAAAGCAGTGTTGCAAGTCGAGTTGGGAGGGGATTATCATTCCAGTGCTACCGATACTTCAGGTCAGAGAAGTGTCTGCTGGACTGCTGGGGACCGGCGAGCATCGTCTCCTGGAGAGGAGGGAGTAGAGGGAGATGGCAGCTTCTGAGGACTGAAAGGGAGGGAAGGAAGTGGAAGCAGCGAGCGTAACAGGCTCTTTGCAGAATGTGACCGTGAAGGGGAAAAAGGAGCCAGGCAGCAAGTTGTGGGGTTACAGGATCGGGCTGAATTTCAGAATGAAGAGAACCAGAGATGGGCCAAATGGTTTACCTGGCTTTTATTTCGGCTCTATAATAATCCTAAACAGTATACAGATATTTTTCTCCTGCCTCCAGCTTGCTACCTGCAGATGGCGCTCATCATCTCATCCAAACTGCTCCGGACCCCTGCATGCGGAGGAGGGGAGGACAAGCGCCCTCAGCCAAACTTGGTGACCGTTTCTCCCCAGGGCCTTTCCATCTGATCCCAAACCACAAGTAAAATCAGCATTCCTCCTCTCCCACTCTCCCCTGAGTTTGGGGTTCCAGAACTCAGCAAAAAGTTTCTCTTTTTCCTCACATAATTATTGTATAAGAAATAAAGTCAGAGGCATTTCTGGATTACTTTCGAGGGTTTATTTAATTATCAACAACGTGTCTTACCACTGAGGTCTGCTTATCACGCCTGGGTGGACTGGGAAGGAGCTATCAGAGGATCAGGATGGCAGGTCTTGAAAGCCAAGGAAGGAAAGTTCTAGAAGGGCCAAATTGTTGAACAGCATTAGCTCCTGCAGTACTTTGTTTCCTGTAAGTTATTTTCTCCCTGTTCACTTGAAGAATGCTTATCCTCTCACAATTCTCTCTCTCCTGTGGGTATCTGCCTTCTGACCCTTTCTTCCTGGGAAGCACGTGTCTTCTCAGGGCCTGGGGCTTCGGTGGCCTTCTGCTGTAGAAGTGGCCGTGTTCATATCACTGTTCCTTGGTTCTCCTTCCACCTCACAGTCACAGCTAATCTTAACATAACAGCCCATGTCTGCATTTTTGGGCTGAACTTCCCTTTCCCTACTTCATCTAATTTCCCCTTTTTGGTTTCTCTACAAACTGCTGTAGCCTAGCATCGTGCTCCTTTGAACTTCTCTACCAACTAGCATCAGCCTCCCCATTTCTCCCATTGAGGCATAAAGGAGGGAAAGGGCTGCTTTCCCTTCTGTCCTGAATCAGTGAGTTGTAGGTACCTCACACCCACCACTCCACCTCATTTTGCTCCTGAAACTCCTGGCCCAGTCACCCCAAAATAAGACATGGTCATAAATCAAGGGAAAAGTACTCCAAGTAGTTCTGCCCTCAGAGGGAGCCCCCTGATGGACACATCACAGTCCTTGGCCTCACTCCCTATGCTCAGGTACCTTTTGGGAGCTTTTATCTTCAAACCTCCATAGGGACAGTCTCCATACCCCTCAATTGACCAGGACAGTAATTACTAATGATGCATTTTCCCAAACAGAAGTAATTTTGTTTCACCAATATTATGGTTTAGTGGGAGGTGGAGGTGGCATCTCCAAAAGAGTCCAGAGTAGACTTGATCTTTCCATGTTTGTGTAAAGACCTTTCCTCATCATGCAATTAGGTAACCATTGAATTGAACACACATGTGTATGTCTCAAGACAAACATTCATTCTCAGTATAATCTAGATCACATTTTAAAAAATAGAAACACAATATTTTATTACCACACTATATCATGCGCGATACCTACCAGTAATGGCTGTTAAATATTGAGCAACCAGATTTTTGAAACAAAGTTTCCATGTGTGTTATGTTTATTATAAATTTTACTGATATAATGGTTGGATAACACATAATTTACAAATAATAACAGAATGTGTAATACTCCATTGTAATTTCTAAATAGCTGATTGATTCTCAAACAATGTTTCAAAGATTTTTCCCACACTTCTATCTATACTAATCATTCTGGATTTTGTTTCTTTGAATTATTGGGCAGGGAAGATACTTAAGTATGGAAGATTATTGCTCTAATTTGAGTGAAATAAAAGTTTATTAGTACAAGACAAACATAACTCATTTAATGATAAAGTTTGTGTTGGAGATATATATCTATATCTATATTTTAAAAAGCCATAGCCAACCTATGGTTGCCATTGAGGAATGAGTGTAGTTTTGACATAAATGTAAGTTGACACTTTTGTTTACATTAACAAGTGAAATGAAAGTGAAGCAATGCAGATATATGTCAGAACCCTTATTTGTCAATGACATAATTCCTTCTTTACTAAATTGGATAAAAATTTTCAAATACTGGAAGAATATTTCCTCAATTGTTTGTGCTTTTTACAATGTAATAGCTATAGATGTGACCCACTTTTAAATAATCTGCCTTGTTAGCATATTCTCCATCACTTTAAGTCCAGATAACCAACAAAGCAATAACTCAGGCCCCGATTTGTAGTGTTTGTCAATTCCACGATGTAAATATTCTCACTACAGCTGATGAAGTTCCTAGTGTGATTTCACTGAATGCTGAGTTGGAAAGAGCTGAACAGTGGCACACCATTACAAATATCACAGATATTTATTATCTAAAAGGTCCAAATCCTAGATCCATCAAAGCCTAAGGCAGGACGTTTTTATTGGATTATGGACTGCCTGGAAATGTCGCGACGGAGTCAATGTGGTAATCAAATTTAAAGAAAAACAACAAAAACTATCAGAATTCAACTTGAAAATTAAAAGAACTCATTGAGTTCTGGGCTCACTTCCAGAACTGTCTGTGTCAGTCTGTGTCACCCAGATACATCTCCACTAAATTCTTGAATAATAAAGACAGAAAGATGTTTCCAGAAGTTTAACTCAAACATCTAATCTCACCTTTCTTCTTGGTTGCTACAATGACCTCGGATCATGCAGCTCAAGGAATAATTTGTTTATATTACTGTTATACTAGAAGACAAAAGTATTTCCTTTGAAGCCTAAAAAAATACTTTCACAAGGGAAAAATATAAAATGAAGACTGTGCAGAAATAAATAGCATAAGCCTAACTCTTCAGTTCAGTTTTGCAGACAGGTTAGGAAATAGCTCTAATTTCAGTCAGTCACCACAGGTTCTTTCTCTCCTACCATTTCATATTTGTATGATTCTTATGATCTTCTTCTCATATGATTCTCTTGTATGAACCTTATCTCAAAGTATGAACTTTGTTTCCCAAGAACATTAATATATTTACTTATTTTCTCAATCCTTCATTACACACAACATAGTTTGGAATTGGAACTCTGTTACAAGCTGAATGCTTGTATCCCCCCAAATTCATATATTAAATCCTAACTCCTAATGTGATGGGTATTAGGAAGTGACACCTTTGGAAAGTGATTAGGTCATAAGGGTGGTGCCCTCATAAGTCAGATTAGTGCCCTTATAAAAGAGAACCCAGAGGGCTCCTCTCTGCCTTTTGCCATGGGAAGGCATGGCAAGAATATGACCATCTGTAAATCAGCAATTTGGGCCCTCTGTAGACATGAAATCTGCTGGCACCTTGATCTTAGACTTCCCAGACTCCAGAACTGTGAGAAACACATTTCTGTTATTTATTAGCTAGCCAGTCTATGGTACTTTGTTATAGCAAAACTGAATAGACTAAGACAAACACCAATACAATTATCAACAACAAATCTACTAAATAAACTGCAAGATTTCTCTGTAGTTCTTTTTATCCACTGAATAGAAACTATCAAGGGTGTATAGTAAGATTACTAGGCTCAAAAGTTACTTGGAATACTTTTTTCCTGAGTATAGTTTTGTTATAAGACACATAATCAGGGTCATCATTTCTGTTTGGATTCAATTTTAGGGTTTTTCCTCATACTTGTTGACTTTCTTTCTTTTTGGAAATGATAAAATTTTGACACTCAGAAATCAAAACCATATAAAGATATTCAGAGAAGTCCCCTAATCCTCTCACTCCATCTCTACTATATCTGTAAGTAACCAGGTAAGCATATCATCAGTTTCTGGAATATTGTTTCCCTGTTTTCTTTTGGCAAAAATATGTGTTTTGTGTATGACTTTTTCTTCTTTTCATACAATAGGTAACATGCTATAAATAAGTAATCTATATCTCTATCTATATACAGTTATACTTTGACTTTTACATTTAATATATGTTCTAAGTTATTCCATATCAGATCACAGAGATCTTCCTCATTATTTTTTACAGCTGCCCAGTTCACTGAAGTATGGATATATAGAGTTTATTTAACTCATCTTTTAGGCCTGACATTTAGGGCATCTCTAATATTTTGCAGTTACAAATAATGTCACATTGAGTAACCTTGCACATGTTTGTCTGGTTATTTGTTTGTTTTTTGGGGGAGTATATTTTCAGTGTAAATCCCTAGATGTGGGAGTGACAGGTTAAAGAGTAAATGTACATACACTTTCCTTATATATTGCAAATTTCTTTCTATAGGTGTTTCAGTTATCTGTGGTTAGATAACAAACCATCCCAAAATTAATGGCTTAAAACACAACCATTTTATATTTAGCACAACTCTTTGAGTTGGCTGGGCAGGGATCAGCCAAGATGGTTCATCTCTGCTATCTGAGGTGCCGGTTAAGCTTGCTCATACGGCTGCTATGTGGTCTAGAAGATCTAAGATGGCCTCACTCATACCTGGCCCCTCAGCTAGGATGGTTAGAATACAGGGCCTTCCTTTGATGTGGTCTCTCAGGCAGGGTAGCCTAGACTTTATATGGCCCTGGCTTCACAGTGAGCAAAACTTTAAATTGCAAGTCTTCTTAAGGCATGGGCTTTGAGGTTACATAACATTGCTTCCCCCATTTGATTGGTAAAAGCAAGTCACAGGGCTAGTTCATATTCATTCACATGGAAGGAGACTGATATGGTTTGGATTTGTGTCCCTGCCCAAGTCTCATGTCAAATTGTAATCTCCAGTATTGGAGCAGGGACCTGGTGGGAGGTGACTGGATCATGGGGGCTGATTTCTCCTTTGCTGTTTTTATGATAGTGAGTGAGTTTTCATGAGATCTGATTGTTTAAAAGTGTGTAGCACCTTCCCCTTCTCTCTATTCCTCCTGCGCTGACCATGTGAAGGCATGCCTGCTTGCTTACCCTTTGCCTTCCACCATGATTGCAAGTTTCCTAAGACTTCTGCAGACATTCTTCCTGTACAGCTTGCAGAACTGTAAGCCAATTAAACCACTTTTCTTTGTAAATTACCCAGTCTCAGGTATTTCTTTATAGCAATGTGAGAATGGACTAATAGACTACACTGGGTATGAATACAGGAAAGTAGAAGTCATGGGGGCAGCATTTTGTAACAGTCTACCGCAATAGCAACTGTACCATTTTACACTGCCACCAGCAATGTATGAGAGTACCTGTTTCCCTATAGCTTGCCAATAGAAAATCTTATCATAAAAGTATTGATTATATTATATTTCATGAAAAAAAAGACTGAAATTCACAAATTGGTTTTACAACCCATTATTACAGTAGGATCTACAGTTCACAAAACAGTATAGTAACTCATTTAATTCTCACAACAAACAAGACAATTAATATTATTTCCACTTTACTAT